AATAGCAATCATTGTCATCATCATCATAAACGAAGCTTGTATTTAGTGAGTACTAAGTACAAAGCCCTGAGATCAGTTCCTTACATAGGTCACATCACCAATCCTTTCAACAGCCCTCTGAGGCAAAAGCACATATTGCCTTCAACTGTCAGATGAAGAAACAGAGGCTCCAAGAGGTTAAGTAATTTGCCCAAGGTCACACAGGCTGTAAGCAGGGAAACCAGGATTCAAAGCCTCTCTCAATCCCCGTGCTTTGAATCTCATTCTCTTGGGCATTCCTCTCTCACCCTGGGTTAGCAACACAGCACTAAGCATTCTGGGCTTGGCATTTGAGCTTCCTGAAGGACAGCCCAGGTCAGCTCATCATCATCCTGTGTGGAATGGGGAGTTTCACAAGATAACTCATCCTTCTGACAAATCCCCTTTACTCTAGTTGCCTGAAACTCTTTTTATAAAATCCAGATACTTGAGAAATGGAGCCTTCAGCATCCTCTCCCTCCTCTGTTTCCCCTTTCACATGCTCCCCCATGGCATCCCGTTGGCTACAAACCTCTCTGCTGTTTATTTACCTCTTATAAGCCCTGTCTCCTCTCAGAAAGCCATTTAGCACTGCACCACTTAATTTTCCTGTTGCAGAATCTGCCAGATGGAGCCTTCGTCCCAGGCTACGTTGATTTGTCTTGTTTTTAAACAATAGCGAATATCGCATAAAACTAAAATAGCAGTCTGTTCCCAGGTGTGGACTCACTAGCAGGGTGACAATCCAGGATGTGTGGATGTGTCCACCTGGGGCAGCTGTCCCAAACGGGCTGGATTAATGAAAGATTGACTTCTGCAGGCAGCTCCTGGCCAGCTGCTGGTCTTGCCTGGGGTTCACTCCATGCAGGAGAATCAGTCATCACCTCCCCTGACTGAACTCCCTTGGGCTGTGCATTCCTGACTTTTCCACAGACATGATTCTGACAGTGAAGGAGAAAAAGTGGACCCTAGAGAATGAAGAGACCAACATAAAGTAGCACAGTGCAAGAAGGAAATATCCCTGATCTTATTTTTTTAATCCCTAAAATTCCTACAAAATGTGCCTCTGATTCCATAACATAACTATGTTTAGTTACTATCAGTAACATTCTGCAAATTTCATACCAGCCAGGCTACTAAACTATGTTCCTCCAAAAAAAATTTTTTTAATGAACACCCCCAAAGTCATATTGATCTCATAGCTTTATTATTCCTAGATGCCCACCAGGGTATTCTGGAAGCATGTGTGCCTGTGTTTGAGAAGCGCAACCCTGGGACTGGGCAATCTCTGTCTTGGGGAAGGCAAACCTACAGCAGTGACTGAGAATGTTCCTTCACCACTGCGTGCTGTCCTAAGGAAGAGAGGATTATGTCTAAAGGAAAGACAGGCAACCATTACCAGCACAGCAGCGACCTCCTTGGGATCCAGCAAGTAAATGTAAAGAAGACAGAGACTAGTCTGACTTACTGTTAGTGGGTGGCTCCATTGATACTTACATCATGACAGGACTTGGCAGGGCAGTACCCCAGCCCAGCTCACAGAAGTGACAGCTCAGAAAAACACATATGCCATAAGCTCCTCTCCATAGCACTCCATCTTCCAGCACCTTTATAACCCACATCCTAGAATAAGCAGTACAGTCCTTTAACACAAAGGGGAAGAACGAGATTGAGTGTTCATGGGTGGAGGTGCATTGGCCTTGCCTTTGATATGCTCTGTATGCAGATTCTGGACAACTAGCATTTGCCAAAACCTTCAAAACCAGGGTGCTCTGGGAGGGTTGGTGATCAGGATGTTGTTCAGAATGAAAGTTGTTCTCCCTGATTCCAATGTCAAATACCAGGTAGAATGCTGAGACTATAGCAATCAACTGATAAGCCACTTCCCCGAAGGCATCCAGTAGGACATGGAAGCCAAAGGAGGGGAAAAAAGAGGAAGACAAGAAAGACAGAATGAGTGATAAATTCTTTATTCCTTGGGGCAATTTTGCTATAATATTTAAGGATTTTTTAGAGCACTCTCAAAAAAAAAAGAAAAAAGAAAAAAGAAAAAGAAGAAAACCAGTCTTTCCTCTATAAGATTCTTTTCTCGTAGAGAGTACGGAACACTCCAATGTCTGTAAGCAGCCTTATACATGGAAATTTAACAGGTTTTCTCAGGGCTACTTTGAAGAAAAAATATCATCCCCTGAGTCAGCAGAGAGGCCATGAAGTGTTTGACAGTTATAATGGCACTCTTGATGAAGGAGTTTCCACCCTAAGTATACAAATAAACAACTACATTTTAAATAATCAAATGTATGTCCAAAATGACATAGGGAAACAAATCTGGAGTGACTGCCCCTATTCTTCATAGAAAATAAAAGTAAGGGGTGGGGGGAGATGGGGATAGTTAACAGGTACCAAAAAAACAAAACAAAACAAAATAACTAGAAAGATTTATTAAAACCTAGTATGTGATAGCACAACAGAGTGACTGTAGTCAATAATAATTCAATGATACATTTTTAAATAACTAAATGAATATAATTGTATTGTTTTTAACACAAAGGATAAATGCTTGAGGGAACAGATACCCTATTTTCTATGATGTAATTACTACACATTGCATACCTGTATGAAAGTATCTCATGTACCTTGTAAATACATGTACCTACTGTGTACCCACAAACATTTTAAGGAAAACAAAAGTGATATGTGTGAGTGGAAGCACAGAGTGAGCTGATCAGTTGAGAAAGGTGCTTAGAAACCTGTTACGTGCTTTGGCATGTAAGGGGGAATTATTACTAAAATTCCACAGAAAGTGTCATCCCCAAAATCCTCAGAAGTGGTCTCAATAGTCATTTGGTTGACATTTAACCATGTCTGCTGCACTGAGCTCCCAGAGCCACGGAACACTTCTGCAGAACCCTCTGGTTCTTTCGAGTTACAAAGCTGTTCCCCAATTCTAATGCTGTTCATTTTACAGACCTGGCCTTCCAAATGGAAGCACCTTTATTTCAGGTGGCTGGGGAAGTCTTCTGAGATCTTCTATGACCGGGAAGATTGGATCCTAGGAAGACTTGTCTGAGGTTCTCCAGAGGGCATCCGGAAAGGGAGAAAGACATCCAAACCCTCTTCCTCCTTAGGGACTTTTGTGAAGTCAAAGGAGAAAACTGCAATTCTAATCACAACTCTTTCTCTGTGGAAGAGTGGGCTTGTCATGCCCAGGGCAGCTCAGATTCCAGCAGAAACAGAAACAATAACATACCCAGAGGGGCTCAGCATCAGTGGAGAAGCCCAGCAAAGGAAAGCCTGCCTCTCCAGATCTGGCTGCCTTCGGAGGCATCCAGCTCCAAGCCAGCTGGGCTCAGTTAGAAAGGCCACATGTGGGATATTAGTTTGGTTTCAAATCCCACATTTAAAGCGGGACATTTCCAAATGCAGACAGATGAGCCCACACCTCCGGAACAGATCTTGAAACTGTGTCACACGAGCAATAATTGAGGGCACCTGGAAAGTTAAATTTGGCTTGGCATGCCCAAAAGTCTTCATGGTACACCTGATGAACGCCTTAAAATATTTAAAGAATGGTGGAAGATGGAATAGACTGTATTACCTGGAAGAGCAGAACTGTTTAAATATTTAGTTAGGCAGAAGGAAGACTTTCTGAAATGAGCTCTTTGAAAATAGCACACGGACAAGAGTGGTGTCTCATGCCTGTAATCCCAGCACTTTGGGAGGCCAAGGCAGGAGGATCACCTGAGGTCAGGAGTTTGAGACCAGCCTGGCCAATATGGTGAAACGCCATCTTTACTAAAAATACAAAAATTAGCCAGACATGGTGGTAGGTGCCTGTAATCCCAGCTACCCAGGAGACTGAGGAAAGAGAATCGCTTGACCCAGAGAGGTGGAGGTTGCAGTGAGCCAAGATCATGCCACTACACTCCAGCCTGGGCAATAGAGCAAGACTCCATCTCAAAAAAATAAAAATTAAAAAAAAAAAAGAAAAGAAAAGAAAAATAGAATGCATTGCCTTGAGAAGTGGGGAGTTCTGAGCTGGAGGTGGGAAGACTGAGGCTGTAGTACCACCAGCAGGGAGGTAGTATAGCCAAGCAGGAAAAACTCTGGGCTTTGGGCCGCACCCAGGCTCAGGTTCCAGCTCTGTTTTTGTGAGACTTTGAAAAATTTCTTTTTGACCCCCCAATTACCTCATTTGTGAAATTGGTATAATAATATCTACTCCTGTGGGTTATTATGCAACTAAATGAAATGTTAATTAACACGAGTGCTTAACAGGTAAGAAATGCTAAATTTGTCATTGTTACTCCCACTATTATTATCTTGGTTTGATAAATTGGATGAGAAGATAAAATAATTCACTCTGATTTCCTCAGATTTCTTCAGCCCTCTAATTCTATAGTTACTGTGAAGTCTCATTCCATCAAAGCTCCTGGTAGCATCTTCCCAATTCCCTGACTACCCAGAGTATTCTGTTTCAGTGTGGCTCTGGATCTTCCTCGACAGTGGCAGATACCCTCGCCTTTCCTATCACCACTCTCCTTATAATCAGAAACAATCTTTCCCACATCCTGGTTCCTTGAAGCCCTGTTTTCTTTGGTAATAACTGGCTATTCTGGTAAATAGTGGATATTAAGAGTAGTATCACATTAATATGACAATCTAGTTACCGTCTCCTTTAACATTTTTCTCTTGCAAGGAAGCAAGGGCTGAACAGAGGACCTGGTCAAGAACTGGCAGTCAAGAAAAATTCTAAATGTTCGTGAGGACAGATCCTTACTAATGAGATTCTGTAGATTAGGTTTGCCTGTCCTAGAGAGACCATGAGGTGGTCATTCAGGAGCAGTGTAGAATACGAGGCACTCTCATGACAGGCTGACTTGGGGGATATTTAGGGGTTAGGGGGGCCTTCCTCTGTTCTCCCATTATTTTTCTGAGGAAACTTAAAGCTGACTGAGACCTCTGTCTTTCTCCCACCCAAGAAAAGAACAGACCTACGTGCAGAAGCACTGGAAGGATGTCCGCGTGGGAGACTTCATCCAAATGCGATGCAATGAGATTGTCCCAGCAGATATTCTTCTCCTTTTCTCCTCGGACCCCAGCGGGATATGCCATCTGGAAACTGCCAGCTTGGATGGAGAGACGAACCTCAAACAAAGACATGTCGTGAAGGGCTTCTCACAGCAGGTAGGGCTCCTTCTAAGATCTTCAATGCTAAGGTTAAAGAGAGGAAGCAAGCCTACCCTACTGGAAAATTGAACTAAACCTAGTGGGTAGAGGGGAAAGTAGTGGATGCCTCCTTTTCCCTAGCACTATCTAAAGTCCTATCTAAAGGCTAAATCTTCCCAGCAGCCCTCTGAGATGGATCTGATCTGCATTTCACAGATGAGGAAACAGAAGCTTAGGAAAGTTAAATAACTTGCTGGAGGCCTCAGAGTTTCTAAATGGAGATCCACTCTGTTCAACTGAGTAAACTATACTCTCTGCTCTAAACTGAGGCATCTAATATCTGTTCCGTCATCGCCAGGACCAGTTTCTCTTCTGTGCTCATCCAATCCTGACTCGCTCTGCCCAGCTCAGCCCTAGGAATCTCTCCTGGCACAAATCCTAATCCTCCTTCTACCCCTCCTAAACTGCAGCAAGATATTATTAACTCATTTCCATTTGTGTATTCCTGAACTTCTCAACAGTGCTTAAGCCTCCTTGAGGGCAGGGAGAGATCATTGATACTTTTTTTTTTTTTTAAGAGACTGGGTCTCCACTGGGTGCGTTGGCTCAGGCCTGTAATTCCAACACTTTGGGAAGCCAAGGCAGGCAGATCACTTGAGGTGAGGAATTCAAGATCAGCCTGGCCAACATGGTGAAGCCCTGTCTCTACTAAAAATTTAAAAATGAGCCGGGTGTGGTGGCAGGCACCTGTAGTACCAGCTACTTGGGAGACTGAAGCAGTAGAATTGCTTGCACCACCCAGGAGGCGGAGGGTGTAGTGAGCCAAGATCGCATCACTGCACTCCAGCCTGGGAGTAAAGTAAGACTCCAACTCAAAAGAGAGAGAGAGAGAGAGAGAGAGAGAGAGAGAGAGAGAGAGAAGCTGGCTCTCTGTCATTCAGACTGGAGTGCAGTGGCATTGACACTTTTGTTTAATACCCACCCTTAAATAAATGGTACCTTGGACATTGTGAAAAAATCATTCTTTGGTGGGTAAAAGCTCAGGCTCTTGGGTCTGACGGAGATGTGTTCCAAGCCCAGGTCCCACCCCTCTTCCGCTGTCTCACCTTAGGCAAGTTACTAGCCTCTGACACCTTGGTTCCCTCATCTGGAAAATGGGGACAAAGATAGTTTCCTTTCCATAGGGTAGTTTTGGAGACTAACTGGTAGGTACATGACTTACTTAGCAAGAAGACAGGCACATAGTAAAAGACCCGTGAACAGTTGTTATTAATATCAGTGCTTTCATAGGCAGTATGTGTTGACTGACTGAAGCTGGGTGTGATATTTCCATTTGCAATTAAAATTTTCCTTGTGGGAGTTGATTTCCAATATGGTCCCTTTCTTTAACCAGGGAAAGGAGTACAATTTTATCACTTTTCTTCTTTCTGCCAGCCTTTAGCTGGGGAGAAATTGAATGAGTCAGAGGATTTGAGAGAGAGAAAGCAAATGACTTGTTCCTCAGAGATTCTCATGAGGTAGAGCTCAGTTTTCTGGATTCAAACTTCTCAAAATAAGTTTGTAAGTTCTAGGAGCAAGGGTCATTGTACCTTGCTTTGCCTCTCTCCAAGCACCTGATAAACAGTTCTCATAAAACACTTTTTGTGTGATTGAATTGGTCCTCAGAAACCTGTTCTCTCATGCATATCATGGGAATAAGAATACTGTCCCATGGTTTTGCTGCGAAATTCAAATGGTATGAGGAAAGTAAAGAACAAAATAGTTTGCAACCCAAGAGATTCACAATAAATGGGAACCGTTGCTGCTACTGAAGCTGCACTTGCCACCGCTGAAAATGGAAACCACCACCTCCCACTGTAGACCAGCAAGCCCACTGATCTCCAGGCTCTGAGTTCACTGAGCAAGGGCCCTGTCTCCGAGTTTTCTCACCCTTTGCTTATTACCGCCACATTTGCTGAATCACCCTAGCGTTTGCAAAAAGGCAGGGTGAGATCTGGTCGAAGTTCACCAGGTCATTCTAGACAAGCAATAACAATCTGTTTCTGGGCTCAGAGCCCTATAGCCTGACCTTTTGTTCAGAGCCTTTCAAATCTCTTCAACAGTAACAATAAGAAATGCATGAAATATTACACACAGACACACACACACACTCACACACATGCACGTGTGTATATGCATGTGGGTGAGTATGTAAGAATGACACCTTAGCCTTACCACATGCAAGGCATTCTGAAATGTTTCTATGCTATTTTACCTTTCTGTTTTTTTCGGGTCAGGGTCCTGCTCTGTCACCCAAGCTGGAGTACAGTGGCACAATCTCAGCTCAGTGCAATCTGTGCCTCCCAGGTTCAAGCGATTCTCCTGCCTCAGCCTCCCAAATAGCTGGGACTACAGGCACGCACTACCACGCCCAGCTAATTTTTTGTATTTTTTTAGTAGAGTCAGGGTTTTGGCCATGTTGGCCAGGCTGGTCTCAAACCCCCGACCTCAAGTGATCCACCCACCTTGGCCTCCCAAAGTGCCAGGAATATAGGCGTGAGCCACAACACCCGGCCTATTCTACCTTTCTTTTTTTTTAAGCTCTAGGAGCAGTGAAATCTATAAATCTCCCCCTTAGCCTCCCTCCCGCAACAATTCTGAATCTTTCTTAGTCTCTCTTGGGCAGTCATTTCAGTGCTGTTTCATTTCAACCAGTGACTTTTCTTTTTGTCTTTGGCAGCTGTTCCCAAGCTGGTTTTTTTGCATATTAATTAGTCAGATAGTTTGGGATTTAGCTGGAATGAAGAATCAGGCAAAAGGGTCATTCACACTTCAGTGCTCTAGACTAGCCAATTTAATAAGTCTCTCCAACTCTAACCCTCAGTTCTCTCACAGAGCACTTGCTGAGAAGATTTACCAAAACAAAAACAAAAGAGAGAGAGGTAAATCCCTATGCGAAGGGAAGATTACTTGAGCTCGAAGGTTTCCGGAGTTCTCTATCCTGTCTCAGTTCTTGATTCTCCTCCTTCCTTTGCTCAAGCATGCTTTTCTCATTTTAGTAATAATAATAGACTTTTATTGATTCCAAACTAAGAGCTTTGCATGATTATGTCATTTATCCTCAAAACAACCCGATGACATAGGCACTATTATATTATTGTCTCCATTTTATACATAAGGAATCTGTAACTTGCCCAAGGTCACTGAGCAGGGACGTGTTGGAGCAGGATTCAAAGCCAGGTTTGTCCAGAGCCTCAGTTTTTAAGGCTCAGTAGCTCATCTCCCTGGCCCTTTAATTGTTACCTTGAGTTCACTCAGCAATGCTTACTTGAAAGTACACATTTATTGTTGCCAAGATTCTTTCCACATACAGATAGCAGGTGGCAGGGATAATGAAAATGGGCTCAGCCTGCTCCCTGGGGGGAGACATCTTAGCTGCTCTTTGTGACCTTGCTTCTCCCTTATACTTTTAAGGCAGAAAGATTTCTGAATATGGATAGAACTTGCTTCTGGCTAACTCTATACCATAGGATTTCCCTAATGTATTGAACAAACATATTGATGAGAATTGCAAGAAAAATAAATGTTGCAAGGCCAAGTGATATCAGAAGACAATAGGTTACAAACTTTCAAATACTGTGTTCTGCAGAACTTCTCTGATACTTTAATAAGCCCCAAGGAGAAGGACAGGTGCTATTATGTAGCGTTTCTAAACATTTAAGCACAAGAAACTTTTATCCCAAGAAACATATCTCAGAGCTATTACAGGAGGGGTGGAGTACACCTAAGGAATTTGCTTCAAGTGCATTACAGGTGTTGAGGGTGTATCATAATCATCACAGGGGGAGTTTTAAAAATATACACGCATCCTTCTATATCACCACCAGCAAATTATGATTCACTAGGATTGAGTAGGACCTTGAGTGTGCATGTTTTAAAACATTTTCTCCCAGATGATCTTGAGTAAACCTATCACTACCTCTTTGAAAAACTGTACAACAAAGGAAAGGCGCCACCTCCAGTGCTTCCAAAAAAACCCCGCTTATCCTAATAATGGGAACAAAACTACCATCTAGGTTCTTCTTACTATATACCAGCTCTTTTACACGCATTGCCTATTTTAAGCCTTAGACCACCATGGGAAGTAGGCATTACTATCCTCATTTTACACATGAAAACTCTGAGGCACAGAAGGAGCAAATCACACTAATCATCTTAGAGATTTTGAACACCTACAAACATGGTTTGTTTGAAAATTTAATATCTTATGTAATAAGCATTAATGGCTATTGATAGTTTATTCTCTCTCTAAATCCCTACTGTCTTTGAGACCCTCACCTTGCCAATAGTGTTTTACTAACCACAGAGATTACTAGAAACATCTCACCCCACACATACACACACTCTTTTTACCATCTTCTAGATGATGAGAACTACTACATTCTGGTAATTCAAAATCGGTAAGACATACTTTGTCCCAGCATTTCTCGGAATCTGCTAAGCATTTATCCCAAGAGACAGTTCATGAACAACCCATGGTCTGTGGTCAAGTCAGATTAAGAAGCTTGTGTCCTGTGGACCCCCGTTGTAGGATCCAATGTTCATTACCATGTGAACATCTCTGAGAAAGCCTGAAGTCAACAGACCTGTTAAACTTTCTCTAGCCCTGAGCTCTCCAAATTTATTTAACCTAAGAATCATTTTTCAGAACAAATATTATTAACATTCCTATGGAACTTTTTAGAAAATATGAGCCTGAATTGTGGTACAGATATAGTCACAACAGGTGAAGAGTAACAGAAGTTAACAATCCTCATGGCTTAAACAGTCCATTCTTCCCTTTCCTGTTTAGGTTCAAATGAAATTATAAACATTAAAGAACTTCTTAAAAGAGTCTTTCTTCCATGACATTGCAGATTATCTTCAAGGCTGCCAAAGAGTTGGTTTCAAATCCTTTTCTCAGATTTCTTCTTGGACTAAATCAACTTTTTTTTTTCAATTGGAACTTTGATCCCAATGAGCTGTCTTTGAGTTTATAA